TATATACGGAATATATCTCAGGACTGCATTGACAGAATTTCTAGTCCTTTCTCAGCTAACACAGCCTATATGCATCTGTGTCCTATTGGGGAGATTTTATTTCACTTTCTGTCCTGTAGACATAACAGGAAGTGAGATTAAATCATTCCAAAGTGATGGAAATGCCCTTTAAGACAAATGTCACTGATACAAGAGTTCTCACTGGAAGATTTCTACTCCAGTTCTGTTCTGGTTTAAATTGTTCGATCTTCCCTTTCAGTACTGGTGTCAGGACAAATAGGGAGAGTAAATTTCCTAACAGGCACACAAACAGCAAGCATTCTAACCCCCCAAAACTTTATCAACAAAAATTATGTTTTTGATTTTAGATACTCTTTAAAGTGACCGTTATCAAGGGACAAGACAGAGCGCCTCCATAGTGTAAAAGTGTAATTTATTTGTACAAGGAGGTTCTGATGAAGGGGGCGTGCCCCTGAAACGCGTAGACCTTTAGAACTCAAGGGGGCAGAGGACGCTGATGTGTTGTACTCCTTCAGACTTCCGCTGCTAGAGATTTTATACTTCATCACCATTTGTATGCTTTTAACCACCGACTTTCCTGTAAGTACATTTTTATTTGCGTGTTGTACAAATAAATTACACTTTTACACTATGGAGGCGCTCTGTCTTGTCCCTTGTTTCCTAGATCGATGGTCTTTTTGACCAGTGAGAGCTGCCCTTTGAGTGTTTAAGCCAACTTCACAACCAGCCCATCTTGCAACCAGAGGCGCCGGTTTTGTTTTTTTCGTTGTGACCATGTTATCACTTCAATTTGCTTAATGAAAAGCAACTCGCTAGTGCGGGAACCTACAGGTGTCTGGATGCAACTTTATATACTTTGCAGAGATCACCAGAGCCCTAAAATCTTACCCTTGATTGTGCAAATAATTTAAAGCTACTAAAGGTATAAAGCTCCCACTGCCATTGCCTCAATGACCATGAAGGAAAAAGTTTAAAGTACAATTCTATTGCCTGTCTTCCTAGTCCCCCCAATAAAACCATCCCGTCCTCCCCTGCCCCAAATATCATCTTGCCTAAATCTGGTTGTCACAGCCTTCTGCAATGTTTACAGTAGACTTGTGCACGGCTGAAAATTTTGCTTCATTTCCGTTTCATTTCTATTCTGATTTTTTTTTCATATTCTGAAATTTGGATCTGTTCGATATTCAGAATTTGGAATTTGAATTGATGTGAAGTTTTTGTTTTCGGGAATTCAGATTTTATCGAATTTATTTGGATGGACTTAGGTTGTTTTTCAATGTGAACATTTTAAAAAAATGTGTGGGGTCTCCCCTAAAATCCCTTACCAGATCCTTGATCTGAGCAGCAGCCTGGTAGGATCATGTTCCCCCCCTCCTGCACCAAGCCAGGCTACATGCCCTCAACATATGAAGGGTGCTGTGCCAGGGGGAACCCCTTGGCAAAGCACCTTGTCCCCATGTTGATGAGGACAAGGGCCCCTTTCTCATAAAGGGGGAACCCAGACGTCGCCCCCGCTCGTGAATGACTAAGGGGTAGTTGGTACCCCTATTCATTCACCTCAGTAAAATAGACACCACATCAAAGTCCTTTATTTTTTTTTAAAAACATTACATAGTTGTTAATAAGTCCTTTATTAAAAAAAGTGTCCATCAATGTAATCCCCAGGTCAATCACATTGTCCAGCAATGTAGATCCTTGGCAATCACAATGCCCACCACTTGCTTACTTGATGAAACAAAAAATCCCCGCCGCCACGTCTGATTCCCCAGAAAAATGGCTACAAGTGACCGGTCTGCTCCGAAAGGTAAACAAAGGGGCGGAGCAAGTCGTTACATCACGATACTTGTTTTGCCCCTTTGTTTACATTTTTGACAGCTTTCGGTCCCCTAATGGTATGTAAACAAAGGGGTAGAACAAGTCCCATGACGTCAAGACTTGCTTCACCTCCTTTGTTTACATGTTTCCCTGGCTCAAATCCTCACAAGGTCACTATCTTCAAGGATAGTGACCTGTGCTAGTGTGGGTTTCCTCCAGGTACTCTGGTTTCCTCCCACACTCCAAAGACATGCTGGAAGGTTAATTGGCTCCTGTCTAAATTGGCCCTGTATGTGCGTGGAATAGGGACCTTAGATTGTAAGCTCCTTGAGGGCAGAGATTCATGTGAATGTGCAGTATGTAAAGCACTGCGTAAATTGTCGGCACTAAATAAATACCTGTAATCAATAAATTAATTACCACCTGATGGTTCCCTTTGTTGTAATAACAAAATCTGCAACATATGCATTCCTTCGAATGTTAAAGAGTCTTAGAAATCTTAGCAAAAAAGGGAGACCAACTCTATATAAATCTGGCTGCAGATTGTAATGGAAAAGGGGTTTTAAATAACATGACATTTAAAAATAGCTTTTGTCCAGTTATATATGTTATATAATTTCACTCTGAAAGTAGTATTTTTGTAAGAAGATGTAAATGAACTCAAAAGGGGCTGTAGTGGTATCATTTGACTTTTACAATGACTTTAATATAGTTTAAATTATATGCTGAAAAGATGCTGTAATTTACTGAGCGTAAAGTTGTATCTAAATAATCCAACAACTATACATTAAAGTGTAGGTTTAGTTCATACAGTAGACTGGGAGCGTTAAATATAAAACTGCTCATCATAAAGTGGAATGCATAATTTAAGTTACTGTAAGGCTGTAGGACATACAGAGCCTTAGGCACCTCTTGGCTGTAAGATGACCTACACATACAGGAATATTATCTTTTGTTTCATTTTGCATGTGAGATAAGAACCATCAGGTACATATGTGTTTCTATCTATCTATCTATATATCTATCTATCGTGCTCTTTTAATGACCCCCAAAGATGTAGTAACAGAACTGTCACGTACGAATATCATACTTGATACAAGATAAAGCAACTCAGATTAGAATTTAAGGAATGCAGCACTGCTTTGAGCTTTGACACAGAAAGACTAAGTAAGCAATTTAGGAGTATGAGAGTAATAAGTTCAAACACCACCAATATCTTCAACATATTCTCTGAAATGGCACCTCTGCAGCTTATGTTGATATACACATCCTTGCAGGTATTTGTATTCAGAAATGTAATCAAAAAAACTTTTTTAATAGATTACTGCTAGTAACAAAAATATTGAAATCTGTGAAAGGTGGGACGCACCACCATCAGACTGTTGGCCCTGATCAGGAATGCACTGGATGTGCTAGTTTAGCAGTTTAGATACTAAAGGAGGGAAGAAGGTGGAGCACGTAGAAAGTCCCAACACAAGCTTAACTTGGTTAAAACAATAGTGATCCAACAAGGTTTAATAAAGAGCCCAATTATTTTTACCTCGAAGAATGGTTGTTAGTGACTCTCAGGCGCTGACCTGTAGACATTAGATCATTATCAAAAATGGCTAGATCATAATATGCTACCTAATGTCTCTCGGTATCTTTAGAGTTCATGGCACTGTGTGCACAATTATACTAAACCCAGCGATCCCCACCAAGATGCCTTAATGCCATGTCACTTAGGCTCCCCAATTTAAATCCTACTTCATGAGGGTGATTTACAATTACTATTTTTATTTGCACATGATTGGATGGTGGAAGTCAGCAGAGCTTTGCCTCATTCACTAAGCTAAGGGGAAAATTCCGTTACCAAGTGTTCTTGTGGATATGCGTGTAGTTATGGAGCAATATCACCCAAAGAAAACAGTGTTCACTTAGCTGGAAATATTTGATAAATTAAAAAAGCATAAAAAAAATATTTGTATCATTACTAACCATGGCAAACCTAATCTGAAAAAAATCTGAAAATAAAGGAAGGTTCCTATGTGCAAATACAGGAAGATGGATTTAATGGAGAGGCCAGCTTGAATATTGTGGTTAATTCAAATATGGAGTCACCAGAGATGTCCAGGGAGGTAGTGTGTAAGTGAACAAACAAACAGATATGTAGGAAAGGAAAAGAAGAGGAAGGTGTAGGGATAGTAAAGGGGTATGTACAGTATGCAGTCCAAGGGCCACCCCAGGGGGGGCATGAGTATATCACTTTGGACTACAGGTGTGAATAAAAGTCAAAGATGCCCTCTGTAAAGCAGTACTCCACTAACGTTCCTCTACTCCATGACCAGGAGTCAGGAAGGGTTTAATGTTTACAACATGGAAACTTACATTGCCTGCATGTATAGTAAAACCACTTATTATGGTGTCCTAGAAAAAAATATGTTTTTAAAGATTAAAAGAAAAAACTCTGGCAGAGGTTTTAATTTTGTATTTATATTTAGCAAATGATACAATATTTTCAGATAATCATATGATACATACTAATGTTACCCACCTGAAAAAAGAAAGATTTGAACTATATTAAAGTTGAACCTCTGCCATGCAGCACAGCCAGATCCATACACAACTG